AACTCCCTCCCTCCTTCCCTCCCTCCTTCCCTCCCTCCTGCCTGCCCACTGGCCGCTCGTGCACGGGCGGGCGGGTATGAAGGTAACTACGGCAACGGTAGTAGGTGGGTATAGTTGTGAGTGTCGCGCGCAGAACCCGAACGGGGCGGGCGCGCGCTCGGAATCACCGTCACCTCGCGCTCGCTGATCCGGGTCACTGACGTCACAACAGATCAATTAAGCTTGTTAATAACTAATTATGTCAAATTAATATATTTTAATATTCGTTTTGTTTAAATAAAGGTGTTATAGTGAATATAAATAACTTTATATGTTTATTTATTATAAAGTTTCTACAGGATCAGTTGTTAAATCTCCCCAATTTGATCTATGGAAGCTCATTTCTGCCAATATAACAACATAATAAAGACTAACTGATTAAAAAGAGTAAAATAATGACTTTAAGAAAGTTTCTCATTATAAAGATATTTTACATCATATTGGCATTAATGAGCTTCCACAGGTTCAGATTTGGCCAGGTCCAGGTCCAGGTCCAGGTCCAGGTCCAGAGCTATGGAAGATAATTTCTGCCAATGTGACAGGACAAAAAAGACTTTCTCATTATAATCAAGTACAGAATCATTTTTGTCCCCTCACATTGGCAGAAATGAGCTTCCATACAGGAACCAGTGTAACTTCATTCATGAAAACTTTATTCAAACAAACAGATTTTATTTGGATTAAATACATTTTCCGTCTCTGTTTCTTCTTTTTCATCAAATTAAAGTAAATAAAGTTAATTTTAAATCGTCATATATTGTCCAGTTGTTTAATTTATTCTTCTGATTCTTCTTTCAAACAGAAAACACTGTTCAACCTCCTGAGTCCTTCCTCACCTGTATAGCCCTTCCTCACCTGTACAGTCCTTCCTCACCTGTACAGTCACATTTTGTTCATTTTATCTTTAAACTCGATGAAAACTGTAATGAAGCTTCCTGATAATTTTCCTGCAGTTTCTGAATCTCCTCAGTTTGTTAAACAGTAAAGCAGAACTTTAAAGAGACGTTTAATTGATCTTGAAAACACATTAAACATTTAATAAATGAAAACTGATAAATGTGTTTAACAGGTAATTATTTTTATTTCAGTAAAACAATGAACACATTATAAATTCTTTATAAATAAACGTTTGAGTCTGCGAATTAACTGAAGACAATTTATGAAATTTCAAATCCATATTTTGTCAAAATTATCAACATTTAATTGAGAATCATTTAATTAACAAACTATTTATTTCAGACGCTGCTCTTCTCTTCTCGTCCACCAGGGGTCCTCGTCGTGATCCTGAAACCCTGAAACAGTAAAATCGACTTTTGTTGTCTTTTTAAAAACAGAATAAGTGTATCTATAGTGGTTTCTGATCTGGACCTGGTCCAATGTGGTCCTGATGATAATAAGTACAATAAAGTTTGAAAGATGGTTGAGAGTAAAATCTTTTGTGTCCCTGATGATACCTGATGATTAAGACTTTTTATTTATAGAATAAATAATAAATGTTAAAATGAGAAACATTATTAATGGAAGATTTAGAGGAATTATTTGGCTGCATTCACACTTCAGGTAAAACTGACGTCTTATTTACACTCATTAGGATGTTTTTCGAGCGTTTCACAGCCACCGTAGATCCTCCTTTCATTCTTTTATTCAGACTTAATGTTTGATTATTGTGCTTTAGTTTCACTAACCCTCATACAGTAATATATATAGATTATTAATATTATAACACAGAATAAAACCACTGTAACATACAATCACTGCTGCAGTTATATTGTGTTTGTGATGGATGAACAATAAAATCAGACAGTAAATGAGACTCTTCAGACTCGGCTGGTAGTTGTGAACATTTATTGGTTTTGTTTTAATTTTAACACTAAAAAGTACCCGGTCTCAAAGACTAAAACAGGTAATAAAAAACAAAAAGAAACACCATCACCATCGCCTTCATCAGCACATATCGTATCATCATGGCAGACAGCTGTCACTGTAAACGACATTCAGACGGTGCTGCTGTGATCAACACGGGGCACGAAACAGCCACACAGTGAATCTACTCACTGCTTCAGATGTTGGCAATAATTCACTCAGAACGGACGTTGGTCACAAATCGATTCTGACCGACGGCGAGAAGGTCCCGACTCTCGGCGTCGCTTCTTTAAAACTGTCATTATTAAAACAGGAAACTCTTTTAGATTTGGTTTTAATTAGATTGCTGAATTACAAAAAAAGGGCACATTGTTATCAAAAGTATTGCATCAAATCCAAACACTGAGACGAACTTTCTTTGACAAAAACAAGAGCGAGTCCGTCCGTTGAGCTCAAAACAGGAAGTGGAAACAGATTTAAAACCAAATAAAAACTGTCCAGGATGCACTTTTAGTTTCCCTGCGTCCTTACAAACATACATTCTGCTTACAGACAATGAAACATCCCTTTCATCCCCTCAGGCCCAACAATACGAGGCCCTCGGGTCGTTCCCTGAGGAACCCCGCCTGGAGCTTCACAAACTCCAGCTTTACTCATACAAACCGACCCTGAAGGGTTTCCCAGAGGAACCCTTCAGGGTCGTTCTCGTCACAGGTCAATCTCCTTCTGGGCTCAGAGCGAAACTTTTAACGCCAAAACCTTTTAGCTTCGACTGCAGAGTTCGTTCCCTTTCTTTCGCTCTTTTCACTCCTTCGGTTCAACAACCGGGCTGAACTGAAATAACAGTCTCTTCTCTCCACATGGGAAAAACACAACCACTTTTCAGAAAACCACCAAACAAACAATAAAATAACAACAGGAGTCAAGATGTTTTCTCTGATATGTACACATGAATGCGTCTCAGTGCTCCAATAAAATCTTGTCTGCTGCGTTAGGAACCGACGCCTCGAACCTCGTCCTTCAATAACAACGTTAGGACAGAAATGTATCTGGTGGGAAATATTATTATTATTATTACTTTATAATAATAATAAAAATAATTAATCTCATGATTTTAGCGTTTAAATACAAATTCTCATAATCACAAGATCTGAATCACATAATTAAAACTTAATATATCACATTAAAAAAATTTTTTATATCCGTATTCTATAATTATGACTTTATATCTCTTAAATGACAAGAAAAAAACTAATAATTCTGAGATAAAGTTGTAATTATGAGATCTTCTACTGATTATTAGATATTAGGTGTTAATTACGAGAAAACACGTCTTCTCCAGGCTTCCTTACGATCGTGTAATTACAATATTGCTTTTACAAAAATAATTTCTCATTATGTCTTTAGCGTCACTTTAGATCACATAATTATGTTAAGTTTTAAAAAATATGAGAAAATATTTGTGAAGAGAAAATGTCTTTTCTCATATGAGATCAAATGTATTAAACATATTAAAATTATTATTGTCAGTTATGAGAAAATGTATTCATATCACATAATTTAATATTTCTTAAATGACAAGAAACAATCTCAGAAAAATCTCATAATTACAATAAAAATGTTTAATTATGAGATTTTCTCTCGTAATTATATTAAATATATCAGAATCAACAGATCAGAAATCTTACATCTAGAAGCTCTTGGCAACCACGAGATCGTCGAGTAATTATAAGAAGTTTTAATTACGAGAAAACCTATTTTTATGTTGACGACACAAAGAACTGATAATATATCAAAAATCATCCTATATGATGTCCTCTTGTGGCTTCCGTATACAATGGTTAAATAAATTTATATTGGTATTAATTTTTTATAAATTAGAAACAACATTTAGTTAATCTTTAAGAACCGAGTGTTTCTGACAGAATTTTGAAAGTGTTTGGTTTGATTTTAGTCTCAAGAACAAATTTCTCGTCATAATTTTCCCTTTTTGATGTTTTTTCGTCGACCAGAAACGTTTCTTTCCTTTATGACTTGGTAAAGAAGAGCAGGAGGAGCATCGAGTAGTTAACTGCTGTCAGGACAAAACCCATATTCACCTTTCAGCTAATGTTAGCCATTAGCATTCTATCATCAGCCAGCTGTTTACAGTTCAGTATGGAAGCCCAAAAGAGTAAGATTACTCATGAAAAGTGAAAGTTAAAAATATAAGATTGTAAGACAAAATTTGAGTTTGTATCTTAATTATTGCTTCCTGTTAAAGTTTGGCTCAAACTTCCACATTATTTTCTAACGTGAGCACTTTTACTTTATTCCTAACTTTTTCCATCAGTTTTCCTTGTCTGGGCATGTCTGAGCTTCCATATTTCAAGGCATAATGGACTGACCAAACATCCCAAAAGTCCAAAGAGTTTTTTTATTGTTCCTAATTTTTTTGTCAGTTTTCCTTGTCTTGGCATGTCTGGGCTTCCATACTCATGTGAAAAATTGTTATTTAAGACGATATTTTTTATTTACAAAATATATAATCTTAAAGGAATCCATCTTTAAACCTGAGAAGTTTGTTTGTGCGTTTGCAGTTCTGTGTTATTTTAACCCGACAGCGTTTATATATAAAAAAAAAAAAAACACTGAGACGCATCCAAAATGAAACAAATACAAAAATACACATAAATGTAGTCAAATATCAACGCTGAACGTCTAACTGAGGTAATGAGGTCTGTGTGGAAACAGGAACAAAATAAAACACTTGAAATGTTTTAAATGAGGTATGTGAACACATATGGAGGCTGAAAGTGCAACGAATAAACGAAGCGTTCGCAGAAAAGTGGTTGAGTAATTCAGATGTTAGCAGACAACAAGCTCGAGTTCTTAAAGCAGCATTCAGAGGCAAAGACAGGAAATTAAACAGCAAGTTAATCGTCAATATTATCAAATTAAAGTAGATTTTACCCCGAGGACACTATACCCATTTCTGCCAGACTGACGGGGGGGCGGGTCTGTAAATATTATAATGAGAAACTTTACAGAATCCTTTTTTTGTTTTTGTTTTTTGTTTTTAAATCACTTTGGCAGAAATGGGCTTCCATAGATTCATTATCCATCAAATCAAGATTTTACTTCCTGTTTTTGTTACATCTTTTTTTTTTTTTTTTACAATTCTACATTTGAATCAAACTCCGGCTGCTCAGCCAGAGTTTTTGGCTTCATATTTGCTTAAAATCTTTTGTTCAAATAAAAAAAAAGGAAAAAAAAAGAGAAATCGCACATTTACAAAGCGTAAAAATGATGGAAACGGCTGATTGTTCGCGCTGAAGCATCGCGGAGCAGAAAAACAACATCGATACATCAAAGTTCATCAGGATACGTCACCGATATATTTTTATCTGATCCTTCGGGTCCGTCCATCCCTCCGTCTCATCCTGATATACGAATGCTACAGAAGATAAAGCCGGTGAGTACAGAGTACCACTGAGGCTCTTATTACAAACAGATGAAAAGGTAGGAATGATTAAAATAAAAAAATACACTTAAAGTGAACAATCTGGTTGGAGTCGAGAGATAAACTCTTAAATTAAGCGAGTTAAAGAGAATTCTCACTGTGGACCACTGACACTGAACTTTATTCCATTAAATAAATTGAATGGATAAAAATATTATACAGAGTAAAAATGTAACCTCGACTGTCACCAGAAGCAGCCTTTAGTACGTTTCTAACTTGATTTAATATATTGTAAAAATAAAATGTATTTTGTAATTATGTGAGGAAGTTATGACTAATTTTATGTCCCTTAATATGAGAGTTTGTATGTTTATCATTACAGATTTTAAATGTATTTTGGCAGGATTAGGCCTCCATACATACAAGTCACCTTTTGGATTTGACTTTTGATTAAACTTCCTGTTTGTTCGAGCTTGTAATTGATCCTGCGTGAGGCGTTCAGGAACCTACATTTTTCCCTTGTTCCTTAAATAATCTCATATCTGGTTAGTATATGGAAGCTCATTCCTGCCACATGCAGTTAGGAATGATAAAAAAAAATTAAAATATGAATGAAATTTATGAAATAGGTTAAAATTAGTGTTATTTGTCCTGTAATTCAATTAAATTAATACAAATTTTACGTTTTTATTCCAAATATCCCGTAATCACTAAATCTGTATCTTATAATTCTAACAAAATAAAAGCTATTTTTTTACCTTCAGAATAAAATCAAACATTTTATTTTTGTGTTGCAATTTGTTTTACTTCACATTTCATCCGTCATTTCTTTTACTGGCAGAACAATAAAAATACTTACGGGACAATAATTAAATACTAAGTCAAAATGTCCACCAGGTATTATATAATTCTCATATTACTATTTCAAAAAATGTTATTAATATTGTTATTAATATGTCCATATCAACTTCATTATTTTTTGTCTTAAAATGTATTTTTATATTTTCTTTCCCTGGCAGTAATGGGCTTCCATACAGCTCAGACTAACTGACGTAAAGAAAAGAAATCGTTCAGCTAAAGAAAACATTTAAAAACATAAAATCACTTCCAGCTCAAACCGCGTGGTCTCGTTTGTTCGTCAGGAGGTATCTGTGTGTCGACATGAGGTTACTGAACCGAAGAATGAGGGAGGGATGAAGGAAGGAAGGAAGGAAGCAAGTGTAAGTAAAGAAATAAGGAATCAGGATTTAAAAACCTCTCTTTTCTCTCTCGTTTCGTCATCATCAGTTCTGCCCGAAAAGTCAAAATTGTACAACAAACGTAAAAAAAAAAAGGATCAAATTTCACATTCAAAGAGTTCAAACAATCGATGCCACTGATGAATTTTATCTTCCTCTTGTTGGTTTTTCCGGTTTACGAGTGAGCGACACAGAAGATCACCCCAAAAAAAATGCACCAAAAAAAACACTTTTAATTAAAAACAAACTGAGTCTGTTTGTGGAGAAAAACAATAAAAAACAAACCGGTAGAAAAAAGGTCACTTATGTTCAGTGTGACCGTCCACGCTGTACAAGGAAAACACCAGGAAACAGGAAGCCGGAGCTCCGACCGTCCCGCTGCTGAGGCGACGAGCTTATTGCGAAACAACAGATTCACCTGCAGGGACAGAAACTCACCTGCAGCAGCTGGAGCTCACTTCCTGTTCACCTGGAGGTTCTTACATATATTACAGGAGCAGAAGAAGAGGACGTACAGCAGGAGGAGGAGGTTTTTCCCTTCGTCGCTTCGTATGATCGATTTTATTCCCGCCGTCAGACTCGGATTGAAGTCTTTAGATCCAGATCTCAGACAGGTCATCTGGACCTCCGAATCCCTTTTTTAAATCCATTTAGTTGAAACATTTGTTTCATGAGTTTTAAGTCCCTGAAAACTAAAAATTTGATGCGTTTATTAAATATTCTCGACTAAATAATGGAAATTCAGGTCAAAAACATCCATAATTGTCTCCCGCCGCGGACCTGGCCGCTCAGAACCGGAGGAAACTGGTGTTCAGAACCGGCAGTCAGACCCGATCTGGTCCTGGTCGATAGTGAGCCACTGATTGGTTCTGACGAGGGATAGACCAACGCTATAGACTCTTTCTGCGTTTAATCGTTTTTAGCAACAAATTAAAGAAAGTTCTTATTTTCTCTTTCTGATGTTTCTATAAAATGAAATAATAATAATAGTAATAATAATAATAATAATAATAATAATAATAATAAATCGTATTAATGAATCAGGTTGTTTCATAGTTATGAGTCGTGATATGTTACATGCTAAGCTAATCAATGTAGAAAATACAACCACATTTTAAAGATTGTTAAAAGATAAAAGACACAAATATAAAGTCAAATCTTAAGTTAACTAACTAGTTATCTAGTTAGTTAACTCTTTAATCATCTTCATATCGTGGTTCACTTTCCAACAGAGATTAGCGTAGCTTAGCATATCTAAGTACAGGAAGGAGGAAGTTGACCAAGGATTGCTCAACTGTGATTGGACCACAGAGCAAAAGGGGGCGGGGCTTAATTATATCTTAATAAACATCTGAAGACGTCTTGTTGGACATTTTATAGATTATATAAATTCATTGATTATGAAAGTAATATTTAGTTGCAGTCAACTTCCTGTTGTATTTCAGAGTAAAAGCATGTCCACAGCCGGTCTACCCCCCCGCTGGTCTCGTCTGTTTGGTTTCTTCAGGTTTTTGTTTGAGTGGATCAGTAAGTCCAGTTTCAGGGCCTGGACTCGGATCCCTTTTGTGGTTTCTGGTCTCGGGTTTGAACCCGGTCTGGTTTTTGTTCAGCTTGTGTGGTTGATCCTGTTCGGGTTGCGGACCGGGTTCAGTGCTGGGTCCGGATGTGGCTGTGGAGGCGGGTCGCAGAGGAGAACCTCTTCCCACACTCCGAGCAGCGTAGAACTGTGGCGGCACCGCCCGGCGGAGTCAACGGGGACGCCGAGTCGGCGATGTGAGTCTGACGATGAGCCTTGAGGAGAGACATCCGACTGAACCTCCGACCGCACTCCTCGCACTCCGACCACACCCTCCGTCTCTTCTTCTGCAGAAACACACAGGAAACAGTCTTTTTTTTATTAATAAAATTAATAAAATAAATAAAATTAAATTAAAATGAATAAAAAGTCCTCCCTCACCTTCCTCCCTTTGTCCTCCCCTTCTTCCTCTTCTTCCTCCTCCTCTTCTTCGTCCTCCCTGGTCGTCAGGGGCAACGGGCAGGTGCGGCCGGGCGGCTCGATGCCGTCTCTGCGGTCGTCGGTCGCCAGAGCGGCCAGCGTTTCGTTGGCGGCAGCGTCCTCGTCCTCGTCCTCCAGCATCTGAGACGGAAGAGTCAGGAGACGATGAAGCATCGAGGCAGACGAGCGACGACCCGAAGACCCTGAAGACAGAGAGACGAAGAGATAATGATCCTGATCAGGAATCAATACTCTATTATTAAAGCATTAATCAACCTGATCAGTGATTCTGTAGTGGAGACTAAACGCTAACAATGATCCATA